TTATAAAACAAAATGAAACCACATGGACAATTTGGAAACTATAAAATCAATTAAACCTGTTTATCACTAAATGCAACACAGCAATGTCTTCATTCCACCTGTATTTTAGAGCAAATGTACCTCTGAGTACATCAGTTATTTTATTTTTATTTTGCTTCTGACCTGATCTACATTTTACAGAAAGACCAGAAAATCTGATGCAGTTTATGCGCAGAATACATTTTTTCAGTTCAATCTAATTACACAGACAGATTCAAAGTCCATTACATATCTTACAATCTGGTATGAGTTATAGACATAAAGGGGTCAAGTTCAGATTATTGTTCCATTTGGACAATCTCGTTTACTGCATCAAGTCTGTTTTTGTAACAATAATCTCTCCCAAAATATATATGTGGCCCTTTAAACCGGAGGAAAGTCCAGCATGTAAGTGGCCCCTTCGCTTAACTGAAAGAGGGAGATCAGAAAACCAAGCAGATACAAGAAACACAGAAACAGGAGTACTTTGTATGTTAAAGAAAAATGTTAGGGTTAAGTAGTTTCTTAAGTGGCTACATCTGGAATAGAAACCCAGCAAACATATGAAGTCTAAGCCAGTGGGATAAAAAACAGAGTGAACATAGTTAATCACAGCTGTAGCTGTGATGATGGATAATTGGAGAGTAGTAGGAGAAAGTAGCAAAGCAGGAAAATATGGTCAGCATGTCCTCCAGCAGCTTTACGGCATTACCAACTTACCTTGCACCTTGGTACATCCTGTTGTAGACGCTGAGTGTTTGCAAACATGCATGGACATTTCCAACAGGAACATAAATAGATTTATACTAGTTTAGGTTGCAAAAAATTCTCCTTCTCCTGTTGACTTCAACTATGCCTCCTACAGTACATTGAGTTGGTGGAGTCTAACCGAACAAGCCAAGTTGAGCAAATTTGAACTTCCTCATATTTTTTCTTCTGAGTTATGTTGTTCAGGGGAAAAAGCTAAAAGCATAAAGAAAAATCCTTCAGAATCAGTGATACAGTTATTCAATTGAAAGCATCACCGACTACTAAAGAAGAACCTTTTTTGGTATAGAACTGTGTGTATTATTTTTTTTGTTTTGATCCTGATGTGTTTGTGTGCACAAAAAGCTTGGATAGAAACTTCACTGTCCATCAGTCACAAAAGGCAACACTATCCAAATCTGACCTGATGGTTTTTGAACTAAAAACACAACAATACACTCTGTCTGAACAGATATCAAACATATTTCTCCTCTTCTTCTTTCATTTTGATCTCCAAGTTGTCTTCAGATCTAAAATATTGACATAAAGTCAGAGCTTTGTGCACCTGGGAAGCACATCCTCTTTGAAGCGTTGACAGATGTATTTTTCTGATTCAGTCTGTGCGGGGTGGTTTCTAATCAAGTATGTTTCCTCCTCATTGCTGTTACTGCTACTAAAAGTTGGAAAAACAAATATCAGCCTATGAGGGATTAAAATAATTCACACTTAGAGATAAAACAAAGGAGCTTGATTAAGAATTCTGTTCCATCAGCCTTTAAGTTTCATTCCCAAATGTTATCTCACCCAGAAAGGAAGGAAGGAATGTTTCGCTTGAGTCAGAACAAACTTTAGCTTTCCAGAGTGCCATCGCCTCCTCCCCACCTGCAGTACTCATATATATTTTAGCTGCTGTCAGCTTGGGGGACATTCCAGTACCCTGTTAGAAGAATGACTCAGAAGGTGAGCCGGATGGCTTAATGGATCTCTACTGCATCTCATCCTTCTTCCACTGACCTTGTTTTCCTATGTTCTTTAAGACTTGTTTTAAAATTGGGAATATTTTTGCTTCAGCATTTTCAAATTTTATTAAGCAAATTATGATCTCGATACCACACTAGATGAATTTAAAATAAGAAAAAAGGCACAGAACACTTTGAATCACCGAATCTAAGTTACCTTTTCCATAATACTTGAGATGCATCTGTGTGTACAAATCTCGAACAATAACTTTAATAATAATTCTTCATCAGAATATTTTCCATCCTATTTTTAGTTATGAAAAAAATGATAAAATGATTATTATTTGGTTTCTATGAAACGACACAATCTTTTTTTTTTTTTTTTTTTGAGCTAATAATAAGGTGTGAAGGGTAAACTGACATTCACCCGTTGCCTTCACCTTTTCTTTCCCCCAAAATTTCATTTTCTCTCCGTCCTCTTTCTTGTTCACACAGAGGAGCTACCTTTGGGAAAAAAGTGATTCAGGACTCATGTGGCTTGAAGGGCAAAGACGAACACATGCAGTGGACTGGGGGGGAAGGGGACTGGAGTAAAGGAAAGAATTGATTTTCCAGTCAAAGAGGCCATCCAATGATGGACCAAGTCTGCCCCCGGGGCTCTGGAGGGCGTCTGAAGGGGGGTTCCGGTTGGCTCAAGCCGACTACGAGTTAAAAATGGCAGTCGATGAACTTAAAACCAAGCTGATCATCATTTCTTTCTCTTTAGAGATGAAGTGCTTATCGTTGTTTCTTTAAAACGAGTCTTTGTTTTGGCTCAGAGATGCGTCAGCAATCTGTTTGTTTGTTTGGGGGGTTTTTTTGTGAGGCGGTTTGGATAGGAACGTTTCGGTAATTTTTTGCCCTTCACCCGACGCCCGGCCCAGCATTCCCTCTGGCGTTCCCTCTGGGGTTCCAGCAGCACAGTTGGACGGAGACGGACCGAGGAACAGACAGATCGCTGCGCACTCACGCAAACACTACCGTTGGCTGGCTGGCAGGCAGCCATGACAGATGGGGGGAGTTGGAGTCATGGGGGGGGCTGTTGCCATGGAGACCAGCACCAGCGCTACCCTGAGCCTTTTCTACCCTGGATAAGCTGAGCTGCACATGCTCTGCAGAGGAGTGTAGCGTGGGCAGCACAAGCCTCGTTTTTCGTTTTGTTTTTTTTCTTCTTGTTTATTTTGTAGTTGTGCAACAAGTCAGATTCAATAGGTTCACAGCTGAAATTTAGACTTTAGATTTAAGCAGCACAGAGCGAGATGGAAAAAAAAATACATTTGTTTACATGATTAGTAACTATGTCATCGGGAAAGTGTGTGAGAACAAACACTTGACCACACAGAATCAGATGCATATTTATTTATCGTGCTTTCAGCCCTCCGGCCCCAGCAGCTTTATATTTCCATCACTTCCTCCTCCCACTCGATCAGAGAGCAATTATCACACTGTCATCTTCTCAGTTTCCATCACATTAACGTTATCTCGTGTTTCTGTCTCCCTCAGCAGCCCCACAGTCCCTGCTGATTTTATTCTCACCGGCTGAGTCCCTCCATCGATCCTGTTGGAGAGCAAACAAGGCAAAGCCCCAGTTCACCCACAGAGGGTCTAACTGGATGCGACAGTCTCTAAAAGCCCAGCAACTGCCGCTCTCTGCTCCAGAAACCCAGAATGGGTGGTTCCTTCCAAAGCTCTCCTGCATGATTTCCTCACTTATTCATCTTCATGTTCTCAGCCTTTCTTTTCAAACATGCACAGACATGGTATCTGCAACAGTATATACAGATTCAGCTCCCATTGTCCTTCATAAATACCGTTATTTTCTCAATCATTCACACTTTGATCATATGCATCTTTTCTCACATACATATGTTCTTTTTAATCTACAACATCTTAGAATTTCTTTTGATGGATGATATAGGACAGACAAGAGCCGTCTAATGACTTCCTGAATCTTTGCTGATGATAACTTTTAAATTTCCTGGCCATTAATTTTGATAAAGCCAAAGTCTTTCTTACTTTCACAAAGTTCAAGTATTTTTACTTGGCGTATCATTTAGAGTAATTTGACAAATTCTTCAGTCATTCCTCATGTCCCTATATTTTATCTCCAGGAGTCTAAGCCTTTTGTAATATTTTGAAGTGTTCTTGATCTATAATTGGATTTAAGATGGTCATTTTAACATTTTTTAAGGGGGGCTTCACGGATCAGAAAGGAAATGGCACATCCCCCCAACATATAAGGAAATGCTGTTCAGAGAACATTAATGATCACAGCAGCTGAAGTTCAAGTACATTAAGCTAAATTTACTTTTAGATAAAAGATTTTGAGCCACCCTTCACTTCCTACTTTATATATCCTGTTATGACTCTTCATTATGTTTTGTATTCTAACATCATCTTAATGTCATCTGTTAAAATAGATACATTAGTTTTAAATACATCATGAGTAACTATAGTTAAACAAGTAGATATTTTTCTGCATTGATTTCTGTTGAACAAACTGGTAGCAGTTTTTTTTTGTATTGTATGAGTTGATGGATTTTCAAATTTGATTAAAAAAAAATTTTTTTTTTTATCAACGGGTGGATTTTCATACATAAATAATTCATAAAAATTAGAAAAACTGTTTCTAGGCTTCTTAACCACATGTGTTCCACATGATTTATGATTTATACCATGCAGTTTATTCATGTTCTGTGACAGAGTGTCTAAAGTACTTTGAGACAATTTTTTTTTCCTTTGAAGAAGCTTCACTTTTATGCAAAACAATTCGGGATTTTTTTTTCTGGTATTGCTACGAAAAAAGGCGCCTTTCTGAGTGAGACAGATAACTCAGTTTGTATAAATGATGATGATTTATGGTTCCTCACTGTGTGGGCGTATGTGTACCTGTGTGAGGGTGACTGTATGACAAATATGAAATAGAGTTGTGATTATGATGCTGTTTGTGTCAGAAAGAGAGAGGAAACCCATAATTTATAGCTTTATACACGTCTTGGTTTCATACAGGGTTTCTGTTGCTAAAGGATTTCATTTTAGCGGAGATGATCCTCCAATCATCTTTTTGGTTTGTAAAACAATGGAATTAACAATCTTACACCACCTCACATGTTTGTGGAATCTAAGGAAGGTTTTTGTGACGATGATGAGGATAATTTAAGCCTTTTTTTTCCTGTTCATACGTTCATCCCGCTGCTTTTTGAATATTTATGTCCCCATTTCCTGTTCTCTTCTCAGTGAGAAGAGGAAGCTACAGGTGAACATTACAAGCCCCATCCAGTGCAGCATGAATGGACGAAAGTGCACGGTCGTCGTCGAGCCAAAGATCAACCAGTCGCATCCGGACTTCACCAAGAGCCGAGCTGGCTACATCCTGGCTGTTCCTGGCAACTAAAATGGGCCAAAAGCAGAAAAGTGTAATAGCTGATTTTAAACCATTCCGAGATTACAATGAAGATTGTTTTGATTCGCAGAGCTGCTCTTGATGTAGCGAGCAGCTCTATATATAGATGGATTCTTTAAGCTAAGCCAAATTTGTCCTAGTTTTGCTAGTTGTGTCATTGAAGAAGGCAATATCAGCTGAAAGAATATGCACTTATTACTTACCAAAGGGGAACTGTTGCTTTGGTTAAAATCTGTATTTGAGTTGATTTGCTTTGTGCAATATTTAGTTCGCTGCATACTGATTAGTGTTAATCCAGGTGAGAATGGATTATCTAAAAGCTGTTCTCAGAAGCACCGTCGTTGCGTAACATCAGTAAAATCCAAATGTTTCACAGGAATTTCTAATCCCTGAAGCTCCATCAGTTAGCCGGCACAAATGGGAACCCTTGAAAAATGAAGAATATGATTGATTATGTTTGCTTTAATGCGTACCATTGGTGTTTTCAAAAACGATAATGCTACCAAAGACCATTCCTGTCTAATGGAGATAATGAAGGACCTGGAATGTCTGCTTTACTTAATGTTTACAAGTGTATCATGAAACTGGGCCAAAGTCTCAGTGACAAATTATTTTAGTTGTCATCACAGGATGTTTGGTAGAATGTGTTGAGCACATTCTCAACAAAACAATCCTGCCACATAAGCATGTTAAAGCGTTGGCAAAAAAAATGAACAGCAATTAGCAAAAAATGAAACAAACTTTTTTCATTTTATTTCCTATTATCTGTACGTGTAAAACTCAGTGCTTTATCAGAATTGCTTGCCAGTACTTCATAAAGATGGAGATCATGTTTGAGTGAGACTGAAGATGCAGGTGTTCTTTTCTGAGTCCATTAGTTTGCTCAGAGCTTCACCTGCAGACAGCAGAGATGGGGTTGGACACATTTGGACAGTTCTTTTCATCAGCTCTTTGGAGACTTGTCTTTTACTTTTCTCAAAGCTTAGAAATCCAAACAGCGCAAACCACATGATTCGTCTTCCACAAGGTGTCACTTGTGCTACTGTCATCCCTTTGCTTTTTTTTTTTTTTTTTTTGTGCTGGCTAAGTACAGAATGTGTTTCTCTCTGTTTTGCAAAAGAATCCGTCAACACTGAATTTCACCAAACACAAATGTCATGTTTTAGGATATGGATTTTATTGTATGGTATTAAATGAAAAAAAGATGCATAACAAAAGTTATGTGAGCTATAAGCCCCTGGCCATTCACACCACATATACATAGCTCACTCATTAGCATTAATATTCAAATCCATCCTCGGATTGAACAGATAAAGTAGAGATTTTGGGCTCAAACTATTCTAACCCCGTTTATCCATTGAGGTGAAATATTTATTTCTGATCTTTTTTCATGTTTTCCACATAAAATTGTTTTTGTTGATGTTCTGGAGCTTTCATTAAAGTATTTGTTTATCGAAAACAATTTTTTCCCCACCTTACATTGCTGCTAACTGCTAACATCCCCCTAGCTTACAAGACAACCACTAAGCCATTGTTAAACAGTTTGCTGCTGCTGTCCAGGCTAGATAACCATTAATGTAAAATAAAAAGAAATATTCCCAACATTTTCTCAGATTTTCCTTCATTTTGTCTATTTTGATGTTAATAATCTGTCCATAGACTGAACAGAAAAAGCAAAAATTCTGACCTAAATATTTTTTTTTGTAACTTCTCAACTGTAGTCTTATAATTTTCTTTATCTGTTTTACTGTTTTAAGATGTTGCTTTAAAAGGACCAATCAGTTTGATTTGACAGAAATGGCTTCTGGTATTTAGGAGAGTCTACTTATAATAGGAGTGACAGATTAAATTTGAAAGCACCGTAATAATTTTTTATTCATGCTGTCTTTATATTAAACCTTAGATACTCTTAACTATTAAAGAATGTAAAAATACATTCATGTACAGTCCCTTAATACTTTGATCGCCGTTCCAGTTTTGATCCTGAAAGTTATGAGAGAGCTCCAGAACATTTACAGAAATGTTCATTTCCTTTGCTGTTTCTTTGAACAACTGGAAATATCTGCCTAATCTCCATGTTCTGCTTGCAATTTCCACACAGCTGGTTGTAGGAGGACTAAATGTCTTTCTAGATGTTTTAATGGGAATTGCATAAATAACAAAATCAAGCAAAAAGACACAAAAGGACTACACAGCCAAAGCTCCCATTGTGTTTTCTCTGGACTAAAAGCTTTCGTTATGCTTCACAACAGGAAGGAGAACTTTAGTGGACTTTCAGGCAAGTGTCGCACAGCCAGCCAACTCTGTGGGATTTATCCAGGTATTGTTTAATTACTCTGACAATGTTTCCACCTTTTGAAGAGTTGTACATATTCAGTTGATTGGTGGTGCGCTTTTAGACGAGAAAAACTTGTGAAAATTGTAGCAAAAAAATCGAATCAGGGAAATGTTGTAGGTTTTATTAGACAGTCCACAAAGGAGTGTTCCTGCGTGTGCGTGCGTGTGTGTGGGTGCGTGTGTGAACTAGCAGTGCACCTCTGCATGTCCTCCAGTGTGGTAATTTCCCACTGGATTTTCCTCTTTTCCCTCCTCTCCACTCGGCTCTTCACCGCTCATCATTAGGATGGACTTTATGTTATTTCTTACTTCAGCACTTCTCTCCAGGCCAGAGAACAAAATGGTGAACAAAGCCTCATTTTTGCTTTCTCCCATTCTCCTGTCTCCCTCATTGCATGTCTCCACTCTGCATCAAATCACTCTGACTCCTGGGCCAGCATAGCTCACTGTACTGCTGGTCATTCAGGGATTTTGTTTGGTTTTGCTTTGTTTTCTTTTTTAAATTAGTTTTGCTCTGTTTTCATGCACTCAAATGTTTTCAAATACAATTTTTAAAAATACAAGACTGCAAAAAAGAGTTATGGATGTCCCGAAGCATTTTATAGATTACACAGTGTATCAAATTTATCATCGTTGTACTACAAAAGTTATTTGACTGCTATTTCGTTAAATATTGCAGAAAGAGTTTGAGACAAATTTGGTGCTTTCCAAAATATGTATAAGACTTCTCATGAAGATTATACATGAAAGTTCATGTATTAGCTTTGTTGCAACATGAAATGCATGTTGCAACAAAGCTAAAAACAAAAAATCTGTAAAGCTACGTACATCATTATTTATCACTAATCTTGTAGCCACTGGCATTAATCTCTATATTCACGTATGGTGTGTTTCTCTGTTATTATGTCACACAATGTATCTGGCTACAAATCTGTTTTATTATTTTACCTATTTTGGAAATACGCAGGGTTTTTTGGTACAACAAAAGAACTTTACACTACTGTGAAAAGTTCTAACTCCTATTTTTTTTGGTCATATTTCCATAAGAGAGATTTTGTTGAGTCCATCAAAATGGTATTATTCTAAGAATAAATAAATAAAAATTAAATAAAAAAGGTTATTGAGGCCCTAATGTGTTTGCCTCAAGATGCTTTTTCAATTAAAATATTACATTTCAGATTCTCGGCTCATCAAAAACACAGTTCGTTCCCATTTCATTTCATGAATCTGTGACACACATTTTAAAAAGACATAATCGTTTCCAAACAACTATTGGCTGAAAATTTGGCAGAAAACTAAATGGTGGCGCATGGAAGACCTTTGTCAGACTTTCAAGACTTGTTTTCCCCCTGCTGTTCGTCATCTGTAAATATATATGTTTTTTCTTTTATTTCTTTTGCCTTCTTTTGTCACGCACTTGTCAACTTTCCTTTCTTCAATACACAATGACGAGCTTGCACAATCTGGTCAGAAAATAGCGAAAAGCAGCCAAAGTCCAAGGAAAACGGTAAAGCTCAAAGAACTAACAATCAAAGCCACTTACATAGATTACTAGAAAGCTCAAAATTTGGAAACAAATTATAAGAGTTCAAAAGGATGTTTCAAAATTATACACAGTTATAATTTCCCCAAGTTATAAAGTTCAAGCTGCAGGCTGGAGGCATTTTCTGTTCTGTCCTTGGAGCAAAAAAGTAAAAGCCAAAGCAGTCAAGTTACTGCATCTGCACTTTCTAACTTTTGCTGATTTGTGGCTAAATCTGTAAAAGTAACTCTCCAGGATATTCTGATCATTTCTTGTTCCTGAAAAATACCGTATATTACAATGCGTGCATTATTGTTATTTGAAGGCCGAGGAAAAATATGCAGTGTTGGCAGATTTATTTTTCTTTTCTTTATTTTTGGGGATTTTTTTCAAAGTAATTTGACATTCAATTAATACAGAAATATTGCTAAAAACCATCTTATTTCTAATTATCCCATTATACACTCGTCTAAATCTGAATGACAGCTTTTGTGCCATTATGTCTTCACCTTACTGTGATCTATTGTTTTTTTTTTTACCCAATCCATGTCAGCCAAATCATAACTGATTATATCTTCTCTCTGTAATTTCTGTTGTCAGCAGCTTTAAGTTAAATCTGTGTGTATGTATGCACCTTTCCTTCAACATGTGCCTAATTTTATTTTGAGTTTATATTTTGTAATATTTCATACTATATATAATTGAAAAATATATCGCAAGTAAAACTAAAGGGAAATGCTGTTATTCTGTGTTGTGCATAGTGTTTTTGTATGATTCAGGTTCAGCTGTTTATGATGTTCCACAATGATAAATATGGCATTAATCAATTTATTAATAAATGTATTTGCTTCAATTGCTGCCTCTGAGTATGTCTGTTGCCTATAATGGAGAGACTGATATTACACTGGCATCAAACTCATCAGGTGGGGTCAGCATTTAGATAAAAAGAAGCTGAACAAAACAGCACAAAAACACATAAGATAACAAATGGCACCATTGATGTTGCAGCGTTGATTAAAACGATTAAAGATTCAATGAACAACATGTGCGCAAAATAATAAAGCTGACGACAAAAAGTACACAAGTAACATTCAGTTTAGAGGAGCTTGTTTTGTTGTGCTTTTGCCATTTTATGAAGAGCTACAGTGTCTAGAATATCACATAATATGTATTTGCTTCTGTGATAAATGGACTGTTTAAAAGAATGAGTGATTTTCTGCTGCTTGTCCAAACCTAAAGAATCGCTTCTTAGACACAGCAGATTGAACAGGATAATTGAAGACGCTTTGATCGCTCTAGAATCGACTTCGTGTTTCAAACTAGTGGTTGTGTAACCTCAGGTGTCTACAGGCGTGGCCATTCACGCCTTTCACGTTTGTACTTTAAAAATTCCGCTGTTGATTGAACAAAGTGAAAATTGCTGCTGTGTTTATATTTATCAATCATAAACGTCAGTATGGCAAAATAAGTGTTTTGCTTTGTGTTTGCTTGTTTCCATGTTTGCTTGAAAATGTACATGCGTGGAGTGGAAAGTAGAAGAAAGGTTAGAGTTGGCAATTCTTATTGGTGCTGACTTGATAGAAGTGGACTTTTTAGGAAACCGTGCATCTTCTACTTCTGACGTAAATTCAATAGCATTTCAGGAAAAGAATAATCCCACCGACAGTCAAACGTGAACAATGAATTTTGGAAAGTGTCCAGCAATCAGTTCATCGGTTTTAGGTCAAACTCACCTGGGTTGGATGATAATCCAAAGACACCAACAAATTTCTAAATGACTTTAAAAAAAAAAAAGAAAAGAAGAAAGCTAAATGAAGATTTTGAAGTGACCTAGTCAAAGTTGCATGACAGTAAGAGGGTTGTTTGTGCTACAAAACCCTCCCTTATGGGTAAATTGAAGCAATTCTAGCTTGGGCCAAAATTCTTTCTTCTTGCCTCCAAGGTGGCCCAACCAGTTGTTAGGTCAAGGGATTACTTTAGGCTGTTTTGGATCATTTGTTTCCCTTAGGATTAAATAAATTAAAATAAATTTGACGCCCTAAAACATTTTGGCAGGGACAAGAAAATTGCGAGGGGAGTAAATACTTTTTCACGTCTCTGTAAGCCTTATGTTTTGCACGCTTTGATGATTCAGAAAACAAGTGTTTGGTGTGACATGAAGTGTCTGGAAGCGACATAAAATATCACAAGAGACAAAATTGGGCGATCAGTGCATTTTATTTTTTTCATCACAGTACAAAAATAAATTAAAATAAGCAGAAACATACTAAAAAAAAGTTACAGCAACTGCTTTTTTTTTTTTTTTTTTTTGTCATTTTCTTTTTTAAAAAAAGAATGACTTTATCTAACAGCATGTACACCTTCCTCCCACCGAGTCCTGGTACCACTGCGTATGGTTGCCGTTTGCCAAGTTGTCCCTCTAAGTAAACAACACATTCTTCTGTACAAATAAACACTGCAGTTTACACACACTCATCCACGCATTCGCACAGTCACGCACACACACGCGCACGCATACGTCTGCAGCTCATTGAGCAAATCCTTTTGAAGATTTTAAATCACTGTTTTATCTACAAACAAGATACAGAAAAAAAATCCGACAGAAATATTTCAACTATCAATTTAGTCTTTTTTTCTTTTTTTTTTATGGTTTATAAGCTTATAAACAACTAGTGAACAATGCAAGTGAAGAAACATGGCACATTTCAAGCTGAGAGGGGGAAATTATTTAGTCTGTTTCACCTGACCCTTTCTATAGTTCCTGCCTGATCCGAAGAAAACCCAAAGACCTAAAACAGGAATAACAAGGATTGCTATTTGGAAAAGTGCAGCCCACACTTTTTGATTCCCATCGTCCCCTTAATCGGGAGACAGCGATTCATACAAGATATTTTCAATAGATGATCTTCAGATATATAGACTGCAGCTGTCATCTGCTTCTGATATGTGGAACATCAGGTTGGGTTTCTTGAAGTTCAAAACAAACAAACAAAAAAACAAAAAACTGTCAAAGCTGTGTAGTTTTGGCATGGTGACAATGGAGGCTACCGTGTTGGTGATGGTCAGATTAAACACAGGTTTCGATAAATGGGAAACATAAACAAACCGGCTCAATCTTCATTCCCACCAACGATAAACAAGCCTCCTGCACCAACAACCCCTCCTCTTCAAGTCCTTCGCTTTCTAATCACTCCAATGTGCCCAGCTGAATAAATACCTAAATGGCAATAAGTTAGATGTTGGGATAAGTTGCCTCAACGTCCAGTATCTCAGTGTTCTCCTCAATGATATGGCACCGTAAGAACATTTTTAATGCTGAAGCGTGAGCACAAGAGTGGCTGCAACACAACCTGTCCACAGAAAAAGTACAATGAAACTTTTTTTTTTCCCCTGGTAAATAATAGCCTATTTTAGCAAGCAGAGATAAATAAAACTAGCGTCACTTTGTTCACAGCATTCTCTTAACGCAGATGCAGTCGGTTCGCAAATCAAGTGAAAGGAAGAAACATAATAGTCCTAATAGTTGTAATAATAATAATAATAATAACAGCTCCTGGAGGCTTCGTAAAATTGCATGGCACACGTGCAAAATGTTACATTTTTAAGTAGAAAAAGAAAACTTGTTGGAGAACAAAGCAATAAATAAGCCTCGTGGAGCAAAACATCCATGAAAATGTTGTCTTTCTTTTTTTCTCCCCCTTTTTGTCAAATAATGTAAGTCTTTCTGAACACGACATTCATCGTCCAGTTTTTTTTTCTGTTCTGCTTTCCTTTTTTTTTTTTCTTTTTTTTTTTTAATCAAAAGTTCAACAAAGCAGGGCTGAGCGTCCACTGACAGACCCCTCCGTAACCCTCTCACCCCCAACCTTAATAAAACTCAGGCTCCGATTGGGATCTCTGTCCTCCGACTGTCAGATATGCATCGCCGCAGAAATAGAAGAAGCCCTCCTCCCCCCCAAAAAAACCCAAAAACATCCGTGTCAGTGGAGGGGATGTCCCAGAGAGGCAGCGGGAGTTGCCTGTTCATCCGTGGAGCTTGACATCCAGTCAGGCGATGGCCCTCACCCTCCTGCAGTAGGCAGTGCACACATCACATCGTCAAACAGTCAGGAGGTCACCGGTGGGCTGCTGCAGCTTCAGTCCTGTTCACATTCATTGCTGCAGCTTTTTCATACTGTTTTTTTTTTTTTTTGGTCATTTTGTCCTATTATTATTTTTTGTCTTGTATTTTAAATAATTATTCTTATCTAACAGTTGGTAAAGAACTCACCCAAATCTGGCGTTTTTTACTTTTTTTTGTAACTTATGTACAGTCTTTATAAATCACCTCTAAATTCTTAAGTTTTGCCTCCAGGAAATCTGATAATCCTTCATAAAGGTCTTCACCAACATGTCTTTCTGAAGGTCATTCAAGGCTTTTTTTTTTTGGTTTGTTTTCTATTTGGAAAATTGTGCAGCGTGTACTTAAAAAAAAACAGTGAGGGAGATGGACTGTCTAAAGTATAATCCTGCACCGGTAGCTGGAAGTTGTGTCTTTAAGACGGAACACAGAACCTGAGACATGGCTCACGCTGCAGCTGAGGTTTTCATTTTATAGCTCCATGGGAATCACTTTTTCCATGTGGAAATCCTTAATTCTCTCTGCCATTCTTTGGTATTTTTCACACAGGCTGCAAGCGGCAAAATCTGTTGGGTGCACACGCTGAACACTGGCTCATCTGGTCAGTTTGGAACCCCCTTCTTATGTAAATCAGTGCTGAGGTGACACACTAAAAATGCTGATGAAGCATCCTGTGATGAGAAAATCTACGAGTATCGATTTTCAAGTCTTGCCACGGCAGCCGTACGTCTCCAGCATGACGGAGGCAAGATGATCCTGCGTTTAACTCCAGCCAGCTTTCCTGTCAACTCTCACCGTTTTAATGAAGAGCATCCTAAAGCTCTTCATTCATCTGTGTTTGCTCTGGTAAAGGGTCTTCTGAAACACAAATCCCATTGTATGTAGACCAAACCGTTTAAAGTCTGAAGGACCTTCAGAAAGCCTGAAATGTTGATTAAGACCATGAAACAGTTACGAGAGAGCAAACAAAATCTGAAGAATCAAAGAATGACTTGAGCACAATCCAGTATGATAGTCTTAAAAAAAAGCTTTCATTCTTGGGTTCACATCCTTTGCAAGTTTGAAAATACTTGGGGGAGCATTGTGATCCTTTCAGTATATGCCAATATCAAACCAAATGTCAAAACTGCTTCATACAAATATGGAACACTCCTTCGTGTAACTGGCGTCACGGCAGTTTGGACAGTAGTGAATAAATAGCATGATTGATCATTTCTTAAGAAGATGTCAAAATGCGAGACTGGAGTTAACCCCCTTCTCTCCCCCCCCCCCCATCACACCCGTAGCATTCCCTCACCGGTCCAGGCCGATGAGCAGGCGGCTCCTCTCCTCCTCCTTCTGGCTCTCGTTCTTCAGGTCGGCAAACACCTGAGTGAAGTAGTGGGGGTCGGAGTTGATCTGGAGCATCTTGGCGCTCATCAGGTTGATGATGGACAGGCACCGGTCCCAGAAGGTCTCCTTGGAGCTCTCCACCAGGAAGGGCTTGAGCGGATAGGAGATCTCGTTACCCATGTAGGAGTAGGACAGGTAGAGGCAGGTGAGGAGGACGGCCTGCAGCTCGTGCTCCGTGGCCACCTCGGAGGAGACCACGTCGCGGCACAGCATGTAGACGAAGGCTGTTGAAGCCCTGGGCCAGCCCTGCAGCAGGAGTCCGCAGCACCGAGAGTGCTTCAGCACGCCCCAGGCAGCGCAGCAGCTCGCTGGTGGAGGCCTGAACGATCACTCTCTTAGGGGTGCCAGGGGCCACATTGGAGTTAGTCAGTGGGGCCTTCTTGACCGAGGATGTCGTGTTGTTGGAGCTCTTGCTGAGAGCCGGGCTGCTCTGGTCCTGGGTGAAGCTGGACAGATTGGCGCAGGACTGCGACTTCTTCAGGTTCTCGTTGTTCAGATGGGACACGTTGTTCTGGTACGCGGCATTGGGCTGCACTTTCTTGGAGCTCTTCTTCTTGGCCGACACCGCCACGATCCGCTTCCATGGCAGCACGTTGATGAGCGAGTGGCGCTTCAGGTTCTTGTCTTTGGCGTTCTTGCTGTTCTGCACGGCCGTGTAGTGGCCCACCGTGGCGGGGCCGTCTTCAAAGAGCGCTGCCTTCCGGTAGCTGGGGGACAGAGACAGAACGGTTCCCATGGCGGCTGATAGGCGTCCAGGAGCGTCAGGGTCAGAGGTCTGAGCTCTTTGAGGGGGTATCTATCACCTGGACAGCCTGCACCTCCTGGAAGTAGAAACATAGCTTGTAAAGATTAGACTAGAGATTTAGAGAAACAGGATCCTTTTATTTTTATATATGTATTTTAAAGGAATCATTATCGAGTCATTGGGTTCATTTTAGATAATATCACAGCTCTCTCTGCTCCGTAATACTCTAACAGATATCTTCAGAGTGGTTTTATACCTCAGGATGATAGGAGCATTGATTTGGATCTCTAACAGGCAGAATGCATTATAAACCACCAGCAGGCATCATGTTGCTTATGAACAATCTTTTATCTGCAGGAGCTTTGCACATCGATGAAGTTTATGAAATCTTGTCAATTTTCCTTTGCACCACACCTCAACATCAGTCCCCTTGGATGGAGAGCATCCATAAAAACATATTCTATGCCTTTGCATTGAGGCATAGACTCCAGTCTTAGTGTCATCCATTTCCCTAACAACTTGACCTAATTCCTTGTGCCTGACAAAGCAAAACAATCCCACACCATGATGCTGCCATCACTATGTTTTGCAGTTGGACACATAGTGATGTTTTTTTTTTTTTTTTTTTTTTTTTTGCTGTTTTTAGTAAGAGTCCCCTACATGTCTTGTGGCTAAATTTAGATGGGAATTTGTACCTCTTCCCTGTTTCTTCTCATCTACGCTGTCTCACTGTAATTCTGCATGTACGTTTATGGTTCTGATCCTGCCGGGCCGGGAGGCGAAGCTCCTCTCCGGTCTGTAGTCTTTGGCAGCTTGTCACAGGTTTTCTTCCAAGACTGCTATAGTATTTGGCTCCATCCATCTTCACAGCCATTCTGAAGAGTGAAGCATCCCCACACAAATATATTCTCGAGAGTGATGCATGGTGTTAATATTTCCATTTTTTTATTATTATTTTTTTAAAGATGAACTTTCTGGGGATGTTGTTTTATAACCCAACCTGTTTTAAACCTCTTCACAGCCTCACCTGACATGTCTGCCGTGTTCTCTCTTATGTCCACCACTCTGTTTGTTCACTAATGTTCTTTACGGAACCTCGGAGAACTTCACAGAACAGCTGGATTTGTTGTGAGACTAAATGAACACAAGCATGGAAGTTATTTCTGCATTTGGATGCGGGTTTTATGGAGTAAAGTGGACTTGAATACGTCGTTTGACTTTCTCTTTTGAGTCATTTTGAAATCCAAGAATAATTTCCCTTCCTCTTCAAAATTATGCTCTTTTTTTTTTTTTTCTTCTTTCTTTTGATGACCTGTCATATAAAGTCCTGATCAAACACACAGAAATGATCAAATCGCAGAGGAGATGCGAATTCTTATGCGATGCTCTGCAAATAGGGGGGGGGAAATGCTAAATATAGCCGCTCAGATAAAGACGACGGTGGATTGGAGCTCGGCGGATGATTGAAGATGGATCCATAAGCCATAATTCGCAGTGTGAGATTTATGGCGGACGGATCAGAGTGAATCATGCGTCTCCCCGCTTCCCCCGCACTAAGATGGACGGCCGGGCCGCAAACACCATTTTAGTCATTTTTATTTTATTTTTGTAAAGGTGAAGTATTTATCCAGATTTGAGGCACAATAAAAAGCCAAGATCACATTTGAATTTGAACTCGCTGAACATTGGATCAACGCCCCCCTCCCTTTTCCTCCCCATCATCTCTCTCTCTCTCTCTCTCTCTCTCTCTCTCTCTCTCTCTCTCTCTCTCTCTCTCTCTCTCTCTCTCTCTCTCTCTCTCTCTCTCTCTCTGCAGCGTTAAAGACCCTCGATCCAACAAGCTCCGTTCCTTCATCATCACGTTGTCAACCTGATCGCCGGTTCCATGGTGTGCGGGAGAAATGCCAGCACATCCCGTTTTATTTCCGTGCGCGATCTTAGCGGACTAATGTGCGGAGGAGGTGAGGAGCCGCGTGCGCGCTGCGCTCTCCGTGGTGCTGAATCTGTGCGACCGAGACAGATCTGTCGCTCGGATAGGCGGTGGCTCGCAAACAGAAACGTTATTAATTTTCTTTCTATCCCCCCCGCTCACCCCTCCCCAACCTGTTTGTTAATCTACAACATGCACAGATACATTTAACCACATCGTGGTCATTTTAATTAGACTTAAATGCGTACGTTCTGTTAATTAGAAATAATAAGTGCGCATTTCTCGTTCTGAAGAAGAATCCAACAATCCGCTATTTTTGTTTTTCTGCGCAAGGATTACGTCAAGAAAGCAAATAAACTCACCAGATCTCCAGCTCAACGACTTGAAAGATGATAGTCTTCCTTAGAATGACACGCTTGAAAAAAAAAATTTAACCATCTCGAACAGAGTAATTGCAGCGAAGAAAAAAAAAATAATCCGAGATGATCCAGACAGGGGGAGAGAGAGAGAGAAATGAAATGAAATGATGCAGGCAGCGTGATGAACTGGCCTGGTTGTCGGCGATGTGCAGACGGCGCCGGGCTGTTGTGGAATGGACGATCAGATGAAGGTGTGCTCCTGGTCCCGATGGCCGCGAGATGCGGGATGCTGCGCGAGCTAATGCTGTGGATCTGCGATGGTTGACGCAAAGGCGTTGCTGCGGCCGCCGCGGGTCGCCAGGATCTGCGGTGAAACGGCGCCCCCTGCTGGCAGGCGTCGAGTCGGACGCATCAGAAACCCGAAGAGATCCGGACGTGAGGGGCAGCAGCGGCTGTTTCTCATGTGGGCGACGTGAGAGGAGAGCGGCTATTGACTTCCAGTTCGTTTTGTATACAGTTTGCTCCCAATGCGTCACATGTCATTGGAGTAAAAAAAAAAAAAAAAAAAAACTGTATTTTGTTGTTTAAATTGACAAAACGCAAAAGGGTTCAGTTAAATATTTTCACAAAACACTGTGAATTTACGATCTCAAATTGTTCCAAAAAATACAAAATAAAAATGTGGACCACATTGCCCGGTCCGGTTGTTGTTATTTTTAACCACATAATGAAACCACAGTGGGCTGGTAATGACTTATGAATCACTGAATTTAAGAAAATGTAGTTATTTGTGTAGGCTAAGCCATTCAGATGAAGTCTGATGGACCGAGATAACATTTCAACGAGTGCAGTAATACCAGTTCAAATATATTTCTATGAAATTGGTCTTTCAAGAAAAGTAGATGAATAAGAACCTGCCCAATTCACACAATTAAAGAAATATTTTAAAGACCATTATTTGCCCACACCATATGTGTTTTGAAAAGAGGCAGATAAATACGGTGTGGGTTTGTGTCTTTTCCAGTTTCTTGCACAACGAAGGTCAGAGCAGCCAAATAAATTAAGGTAGCTCATGTTCTCTGCAAACTCACCAATTAGATATATACGATATGTATGGGTATAAAAAATAAACCTAAAAATACATTTGTCATTACCAGGCTGATTTTGAAGACTTGTGAGACGTGTCTACCAATATACTACATTTCCCGAAGTGCACTAAGTCACGCCCAGCGTAGAGCACGCTGACGTCAGCCCGCCAAGAGACGTATTCGCCGCACGTACTTTTCATTCAAGTAGTATTTGAATAAGGAAGATGGCGGCCGCAGCAGTGGTTGAATTCCAGAGAGCTCAGTCTCTCATTAGCACGGATCGGAATGCTTCTATCGACATCCTTCATTCAATCGGTGGGTGTTTATTTCCCTCTTCAGTTAGACCCGGTTCCTCTGAACCTGTTTGTTCCGTGTTTCTCAGTGACTGTCGGAGGCTTCCCAGCTGCTTGAACCGGCGCTGTGCGGTGCTGACTCACTGCTGAACCGATAGCAGCTGGACGTTAGCTCCGTAGCGGCTCAGCTCTCTCTTTAGGCCCATGGCTCCCATGTGTCCCGCGGCAGTTGTAAAAGACGGACTTCTTTTCAAGAACTCTGCTCGTTTTCGTGGTATTTTCTCACAGTACATAGGTTTTGTGTCCAACTATCCCCGTTAGAAGGGGCAGTGCTGCGGCTAGCGTTATTAGCTTGTTGTAATGTGAGCACAGTGATATCAGCTCCATGAAGAGGAAAGACAAACACCCACCGACTTATCTCTGGGGCATTTACCAATAACTTGTTTAAAATCGGCTTGTAAGTCAGCAAGATCAAATCGGACACATTTTCCTAAAGTTGTATGTCAGAAGGCAATATGTTTCTATAGACATGGCGGTCAGTATTTTGCCCTGTCACACCTGTCAAATAACTGTCAACTAGTCTGCTCTGTTTACTTCAAGACCCATTTTGTTCAATCTGACTGTTGATTCTGAACAGACCAGCCGGATAATCTGCGAGTCAGTTAGCACACTTTTCAGAAACATTAAGGATTTATATTTAAATATATGAGCCAACTTTTTAAAAATTAAACTTATTTTTCTAAATGTGAACAATTACAACTAGTCGAATTCAACTCCCCGACTGTCTTGGGTAAATGTATTTAAAGTCCTTTTTAATAGATCGTCAGAAAATGACACTTTCATGACAAATTCTATAAAGTAATTCTTTATCACCTGCTTACAGTCTGTAAGGAAACGTAGTGCTAACTCCAAAAAGGTCCGCCAAAGGATTTTCTTGGCATTGGGTTTTCTAATCTGCCATATTCCATGCAACTAGCCCAGACTGCAGTAAGAACTTAAATCACTGCAAATAGTGTGATACAAAGTGTTAAGAAAATAAAATGCCATTTTGGCATTTTCTGACTGTATCTCCATAAATTGATATGAAATAGTTTACTCTGGTTTGGCACACTGACACAACTTCAATAATGAAAAGGGAGCGGGAGGTACATATTGGGGGGCCACATTTTATGTAGATTCCAACCCCAGAATCAATAAAGCGTATACTTTCCAGAAACTGAAAGAAACTTGTGATACTGCTGACTTCTGTAAAGCAAGCACCTGCAGCAGCCCCATATCAGAGGATTGTTGGAGACCAATGTCTATGTGTTTCAGAGAAAATGCTTTGTTAGTTTTGTTCTTTATCAGTCGTCTTCATTAACGAATCCGTTTTTAAAACAGTGAGACGAGATGTTCAGGAGAACGATGAGGAGGCCGTTAGGGTTAAAGAGCAAAGCATCCTGGAGCTGGGAACACTCCTGGCAAAGACGGGGCAGGCAGCAGGTAAGGTTTTTAATGGTTTAATGTTTGTAAGAATTGTTGAAGTGAATTAGCTTTAAATTTTGCCTCCAAATTATATATATATATAAAAAAATCACAATCACGTAAACAGTTCCTTAAAATAATTTAGTTTTCCAAGTTTGCTCTAATTTTGAATTGTCTGACTATTTATATACTATCTTCAAAAAGGAAACTAAACGTGCTGAATTATAAAGTTTGGATGATTCTCATCTTTCTGCAGAACTCGGAGGCTTGTTGAAGTTTGTGAGACCGTTCCTGATTTCCATCAGCAAAGCCAAGGCAGCCCGGCTCGTCCGCTCTCTGCTGGACCTTTTCCTGGACATGGAGGCGGCGACTGGGCAGGAGGTGGAGCTGTGTCTGGAATGCATCGAGTGGGCAAAGACAGAGAAGCGGACCTTCCTGCGACAGGCTCTGGAGGTCAGTACGTCTAAACTAGCCTTCATGGGGTGGGTGCATCAAATAGCGCCTAATCCATCCTCCACCACACTTTTCTATGTGAATTTGGAACTTTACTCAGTAAAAGAAGATGTGACATTTACTCAAAACAATTTCTGGATTTGTTTTGCTAACTTTTAGCATAAATACATATAAAAGATTTCCAAGCCAAGGCAGTTTACTGTGGGATCAGAATGTTCCAAGAGCCATTTATACCCGACTCTTATCTCTCTATTTGACTTTTTGTATCGATTACAAAAAGTCAAATAGAGAGATAAGAGTCCAGTAAACCTGACTCCAGAATGCAATGATCAAAACCTGATCACTGTGTGCTCCTACAATAATGAAACAACTACTGCCAAAATATTAAGTTAATTGCTTTGCTTTTTATTTCTGCTTTCTGTACAAACATAGATCAGGTAGCGTGAAAACAGAATTGAAATTCCTGAATTTGAGCTTCGGAGGAGATCGGTTCTTAAAATGCGCTGGCTCAGGGAGTGGGAAAGATTTCCATCTTAAAGTGAAAGTCGTCATTAAATAAGACTGTTTATAACATGGTAAATAAATGATAAAAACTGGAGCTTGTACAAATGTGATGATGCTGCTATGTATAACTTCTGTTCTTTTCTGAATGTTAATATAAAAAATATACCTGGTTGTGATGTCTGCTGTAAATATCAGTGTAACACTGAGATAGTTACCAAAAAATGTTGCAGATTATGAGTTATTCATCCTTTTACAGTGGATTCCATTTCATTTTTGGAATTAAGAGAAGTCTATTTTCTTAATCTTTTAATTTTCTGTTGATATATGAAAGTTTTACCAGAGTTCTGAACTTTTGACTTTGTCCAGTAATCAGAATTGGATCGTTAAACGTAAAAATTGAGAACCGTTGTTCTATGAAATGCAGGTCAGCCCAACATTTTTAGCAGTTTGGCTTGGCGTTTTCACCGCTCATTTTAACATTCTCTCCGATTTCAGGCTCGGCTGATCTCCCTCTATTTTGATACCAAAAGATACCAGGAGGCCTTGGCTCTTGGTGAGTTTTGTTGCTTTCTCTATGTGGGGTTTTTCTGTCATATCCTACTTAAATGAAATCACTTAATAATCACCTTTTTCTTATGTTGAGCAGATTAGAACAGAGAAACAAGTTTAGTCACAGTTTAATAGTAATGTTCAACACTTAAAGCGAGACTTTGACTCGGTCTCGCTCTCCTTCCTCCAGGCTCCCAGCTGCTGCAGGAGCTGAAGAAGATGGACGACAAAGCGCTCCTTGTTGAGGTTCAGCTGCTCGAAAGCAAGACGTACCACGCTCTCAGTAACCTGCCCAAGGCCCGCGCCGCCCTGACCTCGGCCAGAACCACGGCGAACGCCATTTATTGTCCCCCAAAGCTCCAGGCGACGCTGGACATGCAGTCAGGTCAGATGGGAATGAAGCTGATGCTTCAAAATCTCTAATGACTATAAAGAATTTTTAAAATTTTATAGATTGAAACCAATCTAATTGTCAAACTGAAACTGAATCAGCTCCAGATTCTTTCTTACTCGGATGATTTCACAATTTTGGAATTGTTTATGTCAAAGTTTCAGTTTTTTTCTCTTTTAATCCTCTGATGCATGACATATTGACTATACAGTCTTCCATGAGTGTGTCTTTTTGGACCTGTGTTTAAATCAATGTGTTTTTATGCTACTTTTGTCATTTTGATTTAAAATAATGTGTAGTATGATACTTTCTGCTGTGTTTTATTTCACACAGGTGTTATTTGTTTGAAATATTTTCTTTTTTAAGCATTTTTAGAAGAAATTGTCGAACATTTGTGATGATTTGTTTTCATTTTTAAAATGAAAAGATAACAACAGCAATTTTACAACAACAATGTTGGAACAATGTCAGTGACCATTGTGTGTGTGTGTGTGTGTGTGTGTGTGTGTGTGTGTGTGTGTGTGTGTGTGTGTGTGTGTGTGTGTGTGTGTGTGTGTGTGTGTGTGGTCAGGGGGAGGGGGAGAGCTGGGGGCAGAAAGAGCGCGTTTCTTGAAACTAGCTAGCTAACCAATCTAGCTAATATTACTGTCTATATTCTGTTGTGCTGTGTGTGTCATGCATGTGAGTGTGTGTATGTATGTGCATTTATCCATCTGTCCGCCTAGGGACAGGTTGTGGGGAAGCAGACTAAGAAGGGAGGCTCACAGTTTGCTCTTCCCA